AGCTAAACCAATGAAATCTGGCAAAGTTTTGGAACAGAGTTATGGGTTATGACAATTTATATGCTGAAATGAAAACCAGAAACTTTATGATTTTTGCTCTGAGAGCCGTGACATTAGTGTCACACTACTTTACAAATAAAAAATCAAAAATGGCCGTAGCCAGTCCTAAAAGGACCCTTTATTATCAAGAGTTGCACAAAATACATGTAGCAGTAGTACTATTTATTCGTTTAATCTAGCAATAAGAAAATCGACATCATCTGGGGATAGATTTAAGATTGTAGTAGCATTAAAAGACTTTAACCGTTCTATTGCTTCTATACCACCAACATTACTAAAAAGTCTGAAAACCTTTTTACCCCTTTCCTTTCTTTTTCGAAGGTTAGTCTCGGTAAGCTTATCTTGTACAGAAATCTGATTCATGATTCTATCGTTAACTTTAGCATTAGATGCATCCTCATTACAAGTTTTTCTAAAATGATCGAATAACTGCTTAGTGGCTTGGCCAAAAATATAATAGCATCGAAGCAAATCATGAGTGGTTCTTCGAAGATTGTCTTCAGCAGTACCAATCTTATTATATAAATCGAGAAAATCAAGCGAGTTTACGTCCATCTCAAAGACACTCGACTGCAAAGTGATGAGGGGATCTCGAGAGAGACCATCTTCTAGGGACTCAGGAGAAGTCAACTCCATAATTAGTTTTTTCAATGTAGGGGAATCATTTCGATCAATCTGCTTCCTGGTCTGCTTCGCTTTTTTATTTGAATCTTTTTCAGAAGCAAACTCGCTAGAACGTTTTTTCTGTGCAGTACTTGAACTCTGCTCTGTTGGAGTTTCCAAATCATCAATTTCCATATTAGCCGATGCGCATATAGGACACAACTTTCGTGGATTATCGATACAGTTGTAATGGACAATATGCTTGCAGGTTAAATATACGAGCGGTTTCGAAGGACCTTGAGGTTGAGGGGCGATTCGAAGAAAGCCTGCCGTTGAGGCGCTTCGCAGAGGAGGGAGGGACGAAGAAAGGTCTTCAGAACATTTAGCGCATCTCAAAGCACTTTTGACTTGCTGAGTTGCTGTACCCTCGACCCCTCCCATCCATATAGGTGGTGAAGATAGGGTAAACGTTCTCATTGAGTTGGATAAAGGTGAAATTCCACTTGATTGAGAGGTCACTCTGGGATCGGGTATTGGCGGATTGGAAATGATATTAAGGCCATCAGCTTGATCTAAGATGTCCACACTCTTTCCACAGTTGGGGGCTGGACATGCGCTTGGAGTGCCAAGGAAAAGTTTTTTTTCGATACAAAGTCTGTGAAAAATATGTCCGCAGGTGAGGTATGAGAACGCCTTGAGAGGGGACATTAAAATGTCATTGCCACATTCGGAGCATGAACCTAGTTCTGGGAAATCAATATCTCTAACAGTTTTATCTTCGAGACTTTTGAGGATATTATATCCAAGGTTTCTAAGATTAACAAGAGAGGGTCTCTCAGATTCCGGAATACTGCTCTTTTCTCTACTTTGCGTGTTGCCGATTGGGCCAATATTGATTTCATCAACAGTGGTCGCTTCCGTATTAACAGAGCTATCTTGGTTCTCCATACCTACCCACTTATAACTCTCGGTGGTCAGAAAAAATAGCTATCTTGATGGCTAAAGCTAAAGACGGGTTTTTATAGCATTTGTAAATTTCGTCATTCGTTAATCCCCCTGCAAATCGATAAAAATGACTTCATGATTAGCATAGATATCCCCCCAATCTCATATGCGAAATAAGGATTGCTTGAAGAAATGCCTATATCCGAATATTGTTTATTGATATGATAATAGTGTGGCCGGAGACATGACGCAAAAATAAAGTCAAAAAAAATAATAATGAGAATATATATGCCAATCTTACGTCGTACAGCCCCTATTCTCCGGCAAGAATTTTCCCGATATCTTCTGCGCATTTCAGGTGATCGGGTTTAAAATACCGCAGTCTCTTTTGGATAAGCCACCCACGTGATTCGAAAAAAAGAAACGTAGTAATAAACTTATAGGACAATCGAGTACCAAATATGCGAAATTCTCTTAGGCGGTCACCGGAGAGATAATAGGACTCATCATTGGTGAGGTTTTTCTTTCGTACCTTCCATCACGATAATAATAGCCTCTATCACATTCACCATATTCTTTATATCCACCGTATCCATTATATCCATCATCATCTGAATCGTCTGCAACAACAAAGCATCTAACCTTGAATGATGTACACTGAATCATTCGGTGTCAACGTGCTGTCATGCAGATTTTTGATGATGGCTCTGCTCGAGAATTTTCATCCTTAGTTGATGGAAGGTTTGTAACTGTCACGCTAGATGCTTAGATATTATTGGGAGTACGTCGGTCAGCCAATATCACGTGACTGTGGAACGGTAATGATGTAAGAAGTTCTGGAAAATTCGCCCTATAAAGGAAACGTATGTAGTATTTTTTTTTTTTTTTTTTTTTTTTTTTTTTTTTGCGTTTCTCTTGTTCCCTGTACCGTGGAACAATTTATCAAATAATAATGAGCGTCACGACTGAAGGCTCAGAAGAAATCTCCGTTTCAGTTACTCGAGAGACCAGACAGGCCTCTAAAATTAATCAAGTATTTAAGTGTTGCTTAAGACTGTTTTAAAATAGCAAAGAAGTGTGGCTAACGACTATATACAATAGATCTGCACGAAAATTGACAAAATCTTAACGCAAAAACAAAACCAAACCCTTGTCAAGTTTACCCTTCCCGAGCTAGATGAATGTAATGAATATGTACAGCAGGCGGTATTTGATAGATACCACGCTGAAATGATTGGGAAGGACTTGTTCATCAAAGTAAGTTTTATTTCAAGCTACATACTGTATCATTGATTTGAATCTGACCACTTTCTATATTAGATTGATGGAGGGCATAAAACACGAATTCAATTCAAATTAAATAGTTCAGCCGATACACATAATCCAAATTGGTTCGTAACACAAGGTACAGATTGTAAGATGATGGAAAATAAATATAAATCAGATGTTGGTATCTGGTTTAATTGGCCAACTCATGCACAATTATCTAAACCATACGTTAACGCATGTCCGCCACCGGATGTGTATATTGAGGTAATTTATCAAATTCTTACATAAAAAAATTTGAATTGCAAATTGGTTTTGCTCATCAGATCTAAATACTTGACAGGTTTTTTATAATCGCGACCCCGATCGTGGATTCGCGTTTGAAAAACTTACTGTGATTCAACAAAATCTTCTTGCGATAGAATTTATTGGAATCGCATTGCCGGATACTCTAGGTCCTGTCCGCCAGAATCCGAATCCTGGAGTAGCATCGGTCCCTGCTACTCCTCTAAATCCTCCAAATGTCAGACCTTCTCGCGCACCATATTTTGTTTACTGGAATGGTACCAATACGGTTTATTATAAAATAGACTGGAATGAACACTTGGTATTATTATGTGGATGGACAATGGAACTAAATATTGTACTTGATACGATTTCTAGACCATAACCCCATGTAGTTATTATGGTGCCAATCATGATTATGAAAATTTAAAATAATTATATTTTTTTCATAAATACTGTTGTAGATGAATGAATAGATAATAGATTATACATTGCAAGTTATACAAAATAAAAATTCTATTACATATGCGTGCTTGTAAATTCTGCAGAATGAACGATCCCCATCATTTAATATTACTATTTTATAACAGTTATAACGAACTTGCATTCTGACATTTCATCCCTTGCAATTCTTATCCCCAAATCACGAAATGATGATTGACGAAAAAAATACCTATATTCGGATAATGTTTTAGAGGATGTGATTCGCACAAATCGGGATCAATAAGACAATAATTACATCACCACATTGCGACTGCGCATTTTCACGATCGCGAACTTGAGTTTATTGCTTGAAGTGTTGCAGGTAAGACAATATTCCAACTTATCTTGAGAATAGAACTTCGCTAATTCAGGGTCATAAGGGAGCTGATTCCCATTTTCGCAGTACCATGAGCCATGTAATCCATAATTCCCATGTTTTCCATTGCAAATAGGACATGGTGAGCTCCATGGCTGAAGTGATGCAAAATTATAATTATCAATCCCCCTAAAACTATTTCGGAATTTCAAGTATGTGAAATGCTCTAAGACGGATTTGATAATTAATTCTGGATCAGGTCTGGCTTCGAAGGTGATGGGCCCTTTTTCTGGCTTTGAATTTATAACTTCCGATTCATGTACTTCTGATAGTTGCCATGGCTCATTTCCAGTTTCTTTTTTATATCTTTTGTATAATTTGGAACGAATCTTATCTGTCAAAATACTTGGTAACCCAGTTAATTTGGCATGCCAATCCAGATAATTGGCGGTTAGTATTTTAACAGACTCAGTTATTTTCCTTTTTATATGACTGCAAAGAATTTAAATCCCTTTTTTCTCATATAGACCTATTCATTCGAAAAAAAGATTAAAATTCCCAGACTATTGTAAAGCAATGAGACTACACAACTATCTCAATTTCACGCTGTTCACATTTAATAAAGTAAGATCCTGCTTTATACCTACCTTTTATTTCTTCATCATCATGACCTAATTTGCATAATGGGCAGATATAGTCCCCTGATGTCTCATCAGTAATCCCATAATAATCAAAATTTTCACTACTACATTCTCTATATAGATTAGAATATTGATCCAATATCTTGTTGCGAAAATAAGAATGATCGGGCTTAGATTGGGATGCAGATGGTACATTTGCTTGAGACATGTCTGATGAAATCATTTCCGATGGAGCATTTGGCTGAGAGAATGCTGGTACTTCAGCTGGCAGACCACGTGTGCGTGAGCAATTGTTCACGCCGATCAATTTTTGAGATTTGGTTAGTTCATCAGTATAAAGATTTATTATATTCTGGATTTGTGCATCAGTTAGTCCAGAGATTGCATCAGCACTAGATGTAACCACTCCAATTTTATCTATTCCTATTCCTTTAAACAAGGTATAGATGTTTTTAGCCTTTTGTGTCATCTTACGCAAATACTCTCTCTTTTTACCGGGAAGATACAGCTCCATTTCATCATAAATCTGCGTTCTTGCCATTTGATCGCTAATATCATTTTCGGATCTAAGGGTTACAATCTTTTTTTCATATTCCTCACTATAGTAATACCATCGTAATTTTTCTTTCCGACCGGTCTTTTCAGCCTTGTCAAATAAATGAGCTAAATGAAGTACAGAACCTGGAGTTAGGTCAGCATTGACTGGGACATCTGGAATATGTTTGCTAGATATAGAATTCGGTAAGGATGTGGAATTATGGCATTTAATAAATTCAAGTAGTTCGCGTATTAAATCTTGTTCTACTTTCTGATTATAGGGAATTTTTTGGGGTGGAGTGTCCTGCTTGTTTCCAAAAGACTCACAGGGTATCGCTGACTCTGCAGATGATTCCTTTGGAATCGATTCTTCAACTACCTGTTCTGGGGGAGTTACAAGTCCAGTGCTAGTCGTAGAGAGGTCTGTTATACAACTGGTGTTAATTGCTGGTGATGACTCCTGGACAATCAATTCGCTCTGAAGCTTTTTTTCCCGCTTCCTCTGCCTGATCTCATCGCTAACCTTTCTCCTATACTCCTCATCCAATAAATCATCCGTCTCTTTATCCTCCAATGACTTAGTTTC